CCCCTAAACGAAGTGGGAAGATTCAAGATCGCCCAGAAGCAGCTCTGTGGTGGTTAAGGGCTGTTTTGAAGGAGCAGGGCTGCAAGGGTTTGCTTGTTTTAAGGAACTTTGCCCAACTTCGTTGTGAAATGTCTTCCCATGAAAGCTGGGGTCTCAAACTCATCCCACGTAGGGTCTCGGTCTTGTCTTTGAACTATAAAGCCACCTTTTAGAGAGAGCCCTCTCTCTTCTACAGCAAATACAGATCACAGAATCCTGGAATGGGTTGGATTGGAAGGGACCTTAAAGATCATCTCATCCCAATCCCCTGCCATGGGCAGGGACACCTTCCATTAGACCAGGTTGCACCAAGCCTGGTCCAACCCAGCCCTGAACAATTCCAGGGGTGGGGCAGCCACAGCTTTTTTTCTGGGCAAGCACTGGAGTCCTGTCATTCTTGATTGTGTAGGCAGCATTTTCTTGGGTAGGATTGCAAAGGGAGGATTTAAATCAACCCTTTTAGTTACCCTTTAGTGCAGTCTTTTAAAAGTTCATATGGAAGGATACTGATGGATATAACACACATTTCTTCCTCCTAATTGTGACAGCTTTGACTGATGAATTTAAGACTGAGCTCAGCTTGGCAAACGGCCCTCCTTTGGTCAAGCCAGTTTATTACAAAGATGGTCTGCAGTGTGCGGCTGAACTCCGAGAACATCTCTACACAGGTATGGTATTTGTTCTGGATTTCTTTCTTAATTTAAGCTTTTATTTGACAGAACTTCATGGAAGATAGCATAATCTAAATATCAGATTTTAGGCAAAGCACTATTAGGGTGATTTTAAAAGGTGCAGCGGCTCCAAAAAAGTTATTTCCCTGATTTTTCAGATGCTTTTCTGTCTTCTCCTATTTTTGTCACTAAGTACAATCTCTAATGCACACAGTTACTGAGAATACACCTGGACTCCGAGGGCTTTGTGCACTGTCTGACCACTGTTACATTCAAAATCTTCATGGAGGAAAAAGAGAGACAGAACAATTTATTTTGAGCATAACTGAAATCTAGTTAATGATTCACTTTGACAACCTCATGGTGTAACATCTCCCCCTAGTAACTGCTGTCTTGAGTAAATGATTTGCTCTGTTTTGCTTTCCTAATTTTTTATTCCTTTTTTTTTCTAGTGGGTTCTAATGAAATCAAATGGAAGCCAGAAACCATCTGCACCGACCTGTTCTCAGAGTACCCTGGATTAGAGGATTTAATGAAAAAACAACTCCGTGGAGTTACCCAGGGGGTACTGATATTTTCAAGGAGTTGGGCTGTTGACATTGGCTTGCAGAAAAACCAGGATGTTGTGTGTGATGCTCTCCTAGTAGCTGACAGTGAGTGTCCAGTGTTGTTTACTGTGGTCAGGGGCACCTCTTGTGTCACATCTGGAACCTGGAGAGAAACTGCTCGTGCCTTGAAGCAAAAACTAGTCAATGATGGGGGATGTACTTCAAGAGTGTGTGTGATTCCCCAGATCCTGCAGCTGAATGGCACAGAGGACCAGACAGCAGTTGAAGAGAATGAGGTTCCCTGGCAAGAAACCCTGCATGATTCCACCAGCCTTTACCCAAAGAGTTACATCCTCACCTCCAGGGACATCCCTGCCTTCCTTCGGGCACTTGTGATTGTTGTGCTGGGCTTTAAGTCCTACTTAAGTGACCATCTTGGCTGTGAGATTTTCAACCTTCTCACTCTCAAACAGTATGAGCTGCTCTCCAAGAACCTGCACAAAGTCAGGAAGCTGTTTGTCCTTGGTCTTCCTGGGACAGGGAAAACAATTGTGGCTTTGAAGATCATTGAGAAAATAAAAAACACTTTTCACTCTTCTGCGGACGAGATACTTTATATTTGTGAAAATCAACCCTTGAAGGATTTTGTGCCGTAAGTAATAATGTGTATTTCCTCTTTATATTATCTCATTCCATCTTCTGTGCCTACAGCACAAGCCCTGCTGAATTTACCTCTCTTTGCCAAATTTATAGCTTTGCCTGACACAAAGACACAACCTTCATCTCCAGGAAGGAGTTCACGCTGCAAGTGGGATTGAGCTGAGCTCTGGCCCAGATCCAGCACTCAGTGACTGCAGTGAGCATTCCATGTTTGGGGATTGCAGGACTGTGTTAGAGCTTCCAAAGACAGTGCCCTCAGTGTAATGGTCTGTTACAGCTGGTGCCGACCTCAAAAGTTCCCCCGTCCCTTTCTCTGCTGCTGCCTCAGCACTGTCTGTGCTGGGCCTGCTCAGAGTTCTTGTGCAGCTGTGCCAGGAAGAGCCCTTGGAGCTTGTAACAAGGAGAACAGAAACTAACACCCTGCTGAGAGAGGATTTGAGGCAGAGCAGTCCCCCAGCCCTGTTCTTGCTGCATTTCCTCCTGTGCCAGCACGGGGAGCTCAGCAGCCGCCACGGCAGACAAGGCCCAGGACATCAGGGAATGCAGCCCTGCTCAGTGCCCTGGCAGCAGGTCCTGGCCCCAGAAGGCAGCAGAAGTGCTGCCAGTCCCTGCTGACCCCAGGAGAAAAGGGAACCTGTCCTTCCTGCAGGAGCCCGGGCACCAAGGGAGAGCAGGGCAGAGGGACACCCCGGGGAGCCTTCCCATGAGGGCTGTGGAGGCAGGTGGGCCTGAGCCTCCTCCTGGGGTACATCCAAAGGTGGTGGGGGCTGCTCAGCAATGCCTACACACAGGCAATGCCTTGGAATCAATGTTTCCATGGGGAAAATGACCCAGCATGGTGCAGCTGAGATGGGCACTTTGGCATTGTCCAGCAGGATGAGCCCTCCTGGGATGAGTCCCAGAGAGATGGAGGCAGTCAGTAAGAGCTGGTCACATCTGTTGTTTATTTAACATATTCTTTTTTTGGGGTTCTGTTTCATTTTACAAAGAAGTAAGAACTGCCAGGCTGTGACACGTGCTGCCTTCCTGGAAAAGGACTTCCCACACGTGAAACACATCGTGGTTGATGGAGCTCAGAATTTTCGTTGTGATGAAGGAGATTGGTACCAACGCGCCCGGTCAATAGTCAAGAGAAGTGGTGGCATTTTCTGGGTCTTTGTGGATTTCTTCCAGACCACTTACCCATATGACTGTGGTCTTGACTTTTCAAAAATGGTTCCTCAGGAATGGCTGACCAAAATGGTCCGGAATGCCAAGGAAATATGTCATGTCATGTTAAATCTAATGTGGAAAATCCACCAAACACGTAACATTGGTATGCCCTATGAAGTGCTGGAGGAGTTGTTGAAACAGGCTGAATGTGCCCATTCTTTGCCAGGTTCCTTTAGACAACACTATGTAAGACCAGATGAATTGGCAAAGCATGTGGCCGAGCTCTGCAAGAGCTACCTCGATCAAGGCTATCCCCTCAGAGATATTGCCATCCTGTGCAGCACACAGCCTGATGCTGAGCAGTTCAGACGGGAACTGCAACCTGAGCTAGAAAGACAACTGAGCAAGTGCAGGGTGAGGGGGGCCTTGGGATTAGCAGAGGATGTTTCCAAAGACGTCATTGTCATTGACAGCATCCGACGCTTCTCAGGCCTAGAAAGGACGATTGTCTTTATCATCAACGCTTACACTCCATTAGACCACATATTTGACAATCTCGTACTCTGTGCAGTGTCCAGAGCCAACATCAACATCCATTTGTTTAATTGTAAGAAAAGATATTTCTAAGAGGACAGTTCCTATGGCTCTAGATGCTGGAAAGTTTCACTCATTTAGTGTGATATCAGTGACATCAGAGAGCAGCCTGGCAGAAACACAGCATCACAATCAACAACTGCAATGGGTCACCAAGATTTCCTCATTCTAACAGGACTCCTGAAGGGTTCAAGTCCACCAGCTGCTGTAACAGAGTGTGTTGTTGACAGCCCAGTTCTTACTCTCACGACAAATATGACATCAGTCATGTGGCTCCTCAAACTCTGATTGTCAAAACCCTGTTGAGAATCTACCACTTAACTACATCTTTTCTTTCTGTCTCAGCTGCCAACCGTTGCCACAGCTTTGCCAATATCTCTCTGTGACATGGTGTCTATAACTGCTTACTCTGATATTAGATAAAGCTGGATAAACAGTAACATGATAATGTTATATTTCTCCAGGGTAAAAAAAAAAAGAAAAAAAAAAAAAAAGGTATTTGACTGAGACATTTGTACAAAATTCTCGGGTTTCAGCCTGTCTGTAATAAAAGGCTTTTTCTGACTTTAAGAGCTCCTGTATTTGTGGTGGGTAGTGTTCCACATGAGAAAATGGGAGGACCTTACAAGGGCCAGTGTTCCTGGACTAATAGACATTTCCAATTAATTGGAAAGGAGTTTCAACGGCAGAGGAAATGTGCGGGACCCCTCTCTCACAGAGGCTGGGAGATGGAATATAGGGGACCCCCCTCAGGTGGAGGTTTGGGGGGTCTGAGATGCAGAAGCCGCCGGTGCCGAATGGCCCCAAAGCCGGGCCGGCGGCTGGTCCAGGGTGGGAGCCCCCGGGAAGCGCTCCCGGCCCGGGGCTCTGCTCCCCCCAAACCCCGCTGCCCCCCAGCCCCGCTCTCCCCCCGCCGCCACTGCATGTCCCGCCGAGTCTGTCATCCAACCTGGCGAAGCCGAAGGCGCGGCCGCGCGTGGAAGTGGAAAGTTATTTTAGCACTGAATAGAATATTTTAAAAATTAAACTCTCTGAAATATAGATGCAGAGAACGCTGTAGGCGGGGCGTGAACGGGGAAGCGAAGGGGCGGGAGGGGGACAGGTGGGAGGTTCGCTCCTGTAAGTTTGAGCCGGGCAGGACCGCACTGGGAATTCCTCGTCCGAAGCCGCCGCGGAGCCCCGATAGCGCCGGGACTCACCGCCCACGGAGCCGGAGCAGAGCCCCCGTCCCCCGGGAAGGTCTGTCAGTGCCCGCTCCGGGCCCCCCCGCCTCCCCTCCCCGCCCGCCCGGTGACCCCCCGGCCGGTGCCCGGCGCTGTCCGGAGCGGTCGGACCCGAGCCCCGAGCTCAGAGCCCCGAGCCCGAGCCGAGCCGGCGGCAGCGCCCGGCGGAGCCGCCTCCGGGGCCGGTGTCGGCGCTGTGCGGCGGCCCGGGCCGCTCACGGGGGCCGGGATGAATCAACCGCGGTGAGCGGGGATGCGCCTTCCTTGGGCGAGGCTTCAGAGCAGCGGCTGCAGCCCGGGCGGCCAGAGAGCCCCAGCAACTGCTGCCTTAACCCGCCGCTCTCGCTGCCTTTGCACCAGTGCCCTCGCACCTGCCTGTGCCTTGCAAACAGTGACTTTCATTTCCCGATGTTTCCAATGTTTCCTTTTTCCTTGGTTTCCTTTTTCCTTGGTTTTCTTGGTCCCACTGCCGTGTGTGTGCTCTTCTTTGGCACTTCTTTGGGTGTGCAGACAAGGGCAGCAAAGCTGGGGAAGCATCTGGAGCACCAGTCTGGTGAGGAGCAGCTGAGGGAGGTGGGGGGGGCTCAGCCCGGAGAAAAGGAGGCTCAAGGAGGACTTTCTTGCTCTCTGCAGTTCCCTGACAGGAGAGTGGAATAATGTGGGGGTCCAGCTTTTCTCCCAGAGAACAAGGGACAGAACCAGAGGAAACAGCCTCAATTTGCACCAGGGAAGATTCTGGTTGGATATTAGGGAGAAAGGATTATCCAGCCCTGGCCCAGGCTGCCCAGGGCAGTGGTGGAGTCCCCATCCCTGGAGGGATTTAACAGACATGTAGATGTGGCACTTGGAGACATGGGTTAGTGGTGGCCTTGGCAGTGCTGGGGGAACAGTTCATGATCTCAGAGGGCTTTCCCAACCCAAATGACTCCGTGATAATCATGAAGTGTTTTTGATAACGTATCCCTCCAGGATCAGGATGGCCAACCAGGAAGAGCATCTGCTGATCAACTTGAACACGAAATATGCTGATGTGGTGATAGATATTGGGAAAATGCTTGTCGGAGAGAGTTGCAGAAAGAAGATGACCTCTTTGAATCAGAAAAGACAACGAAGGGACCTTTCCATAGCAGTGTGTGCATTGCTGAATTCAGGAGGAGGAATAGTGAGGATGGAGAGTGAGGACAGGAATTACTGCCTCCGGGAGCATGGCATTGGTCTGGACATCGAGAACAGCCTCCGGGATTGCATTGGCAGCAATGAGATTGGTGAATACTTCACGTGGATGCAGGAGGGGAGTAACTTGCTGCTCTTTGTTAAAACATGGAGCTGTGGAGGCCTGGAACAAGGAAGTGCAGAAGCCACCAAGCCGCGTCTCTGCAGCCTGAGCACTGGTTTGTTTTGTAGGTCCGGTACTTCTGTTTTCCCTGTCAAGTCAAGAGATGCACCTGAATTCCTGAGGGGGAAGAAGAGCTCTGCCAAGTGCAACAGTATGAATGAGCAGAGTGCCAAGAGAGCTCTGCTGAGATTTTTTGGTGGAGCAAATGAAACTCCTCTGAACATCCAGGAGCACGACATCCAAGATGCTGCAGCCAGGTTTCTAAAGAGAGACAAAGTGCTGGTTGGGGAGGTCCTGGGTTTCACAGAGACAACTCATATTGAATTTAAGCAATACAGTACAAGGAATATCTTGGAATACATGAGCAAAAACCTTCCTAATTATGTCTCTGCCTTTGCAAACACTGAGGGTGGATATTTATTTTTTGGTGTGGATGACAACGGTAAAGTCACTGGAACCCACAGTAATGTGGAGAAAGAAGCCTTAGAACAAACAGTGGCCAAGACCATTCTCTCTCTGCCTGTCTATCATTCCTGTGGCTCTGGGGCTCTGGGAGTGCAGTTCCAGACACACACCCTGGATGTTTATGACCAAGCAGGATGTTCACAGGGCTACATCTGCGCTGTGCACGTTGAACGGTCCTGCTGCCCTGTGTTCCATGGTGACCCCGAATCCTGGATGGTGATGGGTGGCAAGATTGAAAGACTGAGAGCTGGGAAATGGATGGAGCTCATGACAGCTTCAGACCCAGGTAAAATCTGCACCTATGTTAGAGCCAACTTCACTTATGCCTTGGGCTGTAAATGTCCAGAAGGAAAGCCCAACTTGTTTTGCTGGGAGTTCTCACAAACCCAGAAAAGGCCCTTTGGCCCAAGGCCCAGCCCCAGGCCCCGAGGTGACAGTGTGGTCACTGTCCTGCAGTGGCACCCCACCCTCTGAACCGGTTCAGCAGCACTTCTTGAAGCACTCCCAACTGGCATAAACCTTCCTTCCTAGGGATGTCATACACCCCTAAACGAAGTGGGAAGATTCAAGATCGCCCAGAAGCAGCTCTGTGGTGGTTAAGGGCTGTTTTGAAGGAGCAGGGCTGCAAGGGTTTGCTTGTTTTAAGGAACTTTGCCCAACTTCGTTGTGAAATGTCTTCCCATGAAAGCTGGGGTCTCAAACTCATCCCACGTAGGGTCTCGGTCTTGTCTTTGAACTATAAAGCCACCTTTTAGAGAGAGCCCTCTCTCTTCTACAGCAAATACAGATCACAGAATCCTGGAATGGGTTGGATTGGAAGGGACCTTAAAGATCATCTCATCCCAATCCCCTGCCATGGGCAGGGACACCTTCCATTAGACCAGGTTGCACCAAGCCTGGTCCAACCCAGCCCTGAACAATTCCAGGGGTGGGGCAGCCACAGCTTTTTTTCTGGGCAAGCACTGGAGTCCTGTCATTCTTGATTGTGTAGGCAGCATTTTCTTGGGTAGGATTGCAAAGGGAGGATT